CAATGCTAAATGCACTCTGTTTAAGTAAAAAGGAAATGGTTGTGGTACTAATTGTTTTCAATATATGTCTAACTTCTATTAAAAAGCTCAACGAGTTGTTACTGCTGATGAAATAGTAAATGAATCCCAATTTACTGTACAAGAGAGAAGAAAATGACGTCATTTTTGTCTATATATTTTTCCTACTTTTCACTGCTGAAGTTCTCTTTTCTTTTTCTTTCTTTCTCTTCTTCATCCCGATTTTTGCTCCTTATTTTCGGCGACCATACTAGGCAACCTTACTCCTTATTTTCAAGTACAATAATTTTTATTGATTGATTTACACAGTTGAAGAGGTGTATGAATTTAAATATCTCTTTCTACTCCCCTTTCTTCTCGAAAAATTTTTTTGCTGGTTGTAATGGTTAGTAGTATTTTCTTTGTATTTTTTTATGGAATTGATTTAGATTTTGTTCCAAATTGTATAAAAAATGCATATTTTCCTTTCCACCTTCTTGTTTAGGCTGTATAATTAATTATTTTCCTAGAAAGTATTGCCTTATTTTAGTTGGGTAAATTGACATTAATTTGGTAAATTCATTTTTGTTAGAATATCGAGAAAGTATTGTTTTAGTGTGATCTGTGATGTTAATTTGGTGAATTCATTTTTGTTGGAATACTGAAAATTTAATTTTGCTAATTTTATTGTTGATACTTTAAAAAAAAAATTTCTCCACACTGTGCGAAGTAACTCCGCACTTCGTGGTTGCGAAATGCGGAGTTGTAACTCCGCACACTCCGCACAAAGTGTGTGGAGTTACGGACAACTCCGCATAAAGTGCGGATTTGCGTGCGAAGAGATCAAGCGATCTCTTCGAACTGTGCGGAGAGATCAATTCTCTCCGCTTAGTGCAAAGAGTTTCTCCAAACTCTCCGGAGAACTCTCCAGAGAGTTTGGAGAAACATTTTTTTTATTCTTCTTTTTTTTTATTTGGTTTTTTTACATTTTCATATTATCATATTTTTTCACTATCTTCAAAACTATCTTCAAACTCTCTGGAGCTAGATTTGTTTTTCAAGTTGAGCAATGTCAGGTACAGGTGGCTTTGTGGCTTCTCGGAGGAATGCTGGTGAAGAATTATGCCACCCGTCGGTGGTTGACCAGTTTCAACAAATGTTGTTTAAGCAGCAGCAGGTGCCGGTGCCTACTAATGTTACGAACTTGGACCGTTTGATGGAAACTCTAACAATATCAATTCCTTCACAGAATTCATCAAAGGTATTCTAGAATTCTTATTCATCGACTTTTTTTTGTTTTTTTTTTTCAATTTTGACAGAGATAAACCCCAAACATCTTTTTGTTTGCTGAAGATGTTATCAAGGAAAAGAAATGGGATACAATTCTACGTTTGATCTAATATTCAGATTATCAAAAACATGTATTTCTGCATTCTAAAACTAAGACAAGCCTAATTCGAGTTTTGAAAATTAAGAACTTGGTTTATTTGGTTTTTTTTTTTTATTATGAGTGTACTAATAAATTTTTTTCTCGAATTTTTGTGTGTTACCATCACAGGATTGCTACAAAATGGGGATTTGGATTAATTGAACGAGATTGCATGTTTGTTTGTTTTTGCCCGAGGGAAATTGAGTTAAATGCTTAATGAATCCACATACCTGGATTGTTTGCTGTAATGTAGTTTTTGAAAGATCTACAAAAGAGGAGTTATTGATTACTGTTAATTCGAGGCATTTTCTAATATTTTATTTAAAAAAAGATCTTGAAATTTCTGGCTTTCTGAAAAGATTGATAAAGTGGTGCGGAACACAAAATTATAAATTATCTTTTACTTATATTGTCAGAGAAGATTATGTCAAAAAATTTAATTCAAACTTCAAAAGCATGTTAGGATTATGCCAAGAAAATTAAAATCTCTACATCACGCTAATAAACACACATTAAATACAATAATCGTGCAACGCACGTGACATCGACTAGTAATAGGAATGATTTCATTACAAGCATTCCTCTGTAAAGCATAAAGTGGAAGTAGCATTTGTCCATGGTTGTGGAGAAGGCGAAATGCAGCTTTAAGCATGGCTCTCTACCATCCTCTGGATCCAAATATATCTCAAGTATCCTTATGATTACATGAAAGTAATATAGGAGAAAAGTTCTTTTAACAGCATTCATTAAACTAGAAAGTGAGATAGATGAACTACCTGCATAGAAGCATTTGGTCTATCAATCTCCACACAATATCGTTTAGCAACTTCACAAGCATCTAGTTTTTTGAGATAAAAGTAACTGTCCAATATCGTTTTACGTCCAGATAAAGTAGTTTGTTATACATGCTAACTAAGCAATTATAACCTAATTCTCCTATAATTGAGGAGTACATTATAGTTCAAAATACCAACTTGGTGCCTTCACCACAGAGAAGAATCAAAACCTTAGAAATGATATGAAGAGAACAAATAGCATTCATTACGTGTGCTGTACTTAGCCCCCATTAAATTTCATTACATTTTTCTCTCTCCTATTTTCAATTACACAATCTTCCATAAAATAATATTACACGTAAATCGAAAATTTTTCATTCTTTTTTAACCACTAATTTTTCAAAAAAAAAAAAAAACCAATATTCCACCCATTCTCATTTCTAGAAAATGGGGGCCAAATGGGGGCTTAAATCTCACTCGATGAAAATTCCTATACTATTCATCATGATTGCAAGGCTTCACTTCCATGATATTTTACATTGTGCTATTTACGAAAACTAAGGGCCTGTTCTCTTTATCGTTTTCGGGCCATTTTCTGTTTTCGATTTTTGAAAATGATGAAAATGCGTTCTCTTTCCCATTTTTGAAAATGCGTTTTGAAAAACAAAAAAAAATGTGAAGAAAACAGAAAATGGCAAAAAGGTCGTTTTGGCTGTTTTTAGGCAAAACACGGGAAAAATTGAAAACGCTGAAAACACGCCCAAATGAAAAACACCTTCCTCTTTCTCTCCCGAAAGAGACATTCGACACCCATTTTCTCTAGGGTTTGCTCTTCCTTCCCGATTTCTCTATGGTTTGCTTCGTTCCTGAGAGCTGCCACAAGCTTCTCGACGTCGTCAGCAGACTAGAGGGCTGAATCAAGTGCGATTTCGATGATTCCTTGTCTCCGATTTTCTGCTCCATACCATCGTCAAATCTAGGTATTTCTTTGGTGTTATTTTCTCTGGACAGATTTCGATTTTTTTCTTCATTGGTGTTTTAAAGCATTCAAGAGAATAATGGATTTGATTTTTGTGAATGATTCATCCGGTCAACAGGCGTCGATCTATAGCCCAGATGGATCCGCCCTTGGGAATCGGTGTTAAACTTTGCTGTAATTTGACTGATTTTTTTGCTTTTTGTGATAGTTTCTACTGTCTCTTTTTTTTTCTTAGATCAATTTCGTGCTTTTTGTGATAGTTTCTATTGTAGTAACAATGATTGTGTGGATCGACTTAGAATAAGTGATTGTGTGTCGGTTTCATTTTTGTTTTCTGAATTTGTAATCCAAGGAGTTGGGGGCAGTGCTAGATGCACTAACTTCCATTGACGAGTGTGAAAATTCAAAATGGAAGTTCAGCACTCATCTGATTTTGGCTGATTATAATTTCAACTAGCAGTTCTTGAAGCTTTACCTCATTCTCATTCTTGAGGTTACATATGTTTTCAAGATTATTATATTGGCTTAAAAGGACATTTCTTTTCCATCAATGGTAACAGTTCTTGCTGTTTGTAAATTCCTTCCAGTCTTATAAATATAGCTCCTACATGGGTGGTCACGAAGTTAGGAATAAGGAACCAATGTCATGGTCGGACGAGAATGAACACACTTTCATCGAAATTCTTTATGAGAAAGTGAAATCAAATGTATTGCAATGTTCAACATTCACGAAAGACGAATGGGGCAGGATCAATGAAAACATGATAGCTTCAACAAAAATGGGTTACGGGATAGATAGATTAAAGGAAAAGTGGAACTGCTTACATAAGATTCATCGCATGTTCTCTGAACTTTTGGGACATACAGGGGTTACATGGAATCCAAATACCAACAAAGTTAATGCTGCAGAGGAAGTTTGGCAACACTTTTATACGGTACATGTATTTATTAAAGAATATTGTCGTCATTATTTTTTTCTTATCAAATTTATTTTTTTTATGTTCAACACTTTGACAATGTGACTTCTTTTCCAATGGCAGATTAATAGGTCGGATTACAAGATGTTCAAGAGGGAAGGATGTAAGCACTACCACACTCTTGGGGAGATATTTAGTGGGACTACAGCTACTGGAGGATTATGCAAAGCCTCCACTCAGCTTCCAAACACATCAGAGGAAGAAAGGCAACTAGAAGATGATTTTTTGAATAGGGGAGTGCATGTACATGCAGAGAATGATGATGAAGTCGATGTGGTTTCTGATATTCGTTGACGTAACGAAATTGGTACATCAGGTGAACGACGACGTAAGGAACCTAAGATTAGTAAAAGTGATAAACTTGAGGCATGCATGGCACAATGGTCATCTACAGTTAGTATGAGGAATGAAGAAACTGAACTTAGAACACTTTATCTAAAAGAAAAGCTTGCAAAGATTCAAGGAAAATCAAGTAATCAGTCAGATGTTGAAGTTAACAGTCCGGATCCTTATTCAAATGTCATTTGCATGGACATCTTAAACGATATTGAAGGGTTGTCTAATGAGGTTTATATGAAAGCAATACAGGCTTTTAATGATCCTAATTTCAGGGTGTCATTTGTGAAGATGCCAGAAGCAAGGAGAGGACCTATCTTGGAACTACTTTGATGTGACTGTTGTTTTAATTTTTCTAGTAACGTGTTGTTCTAATTTGTGATGTTGAAATACTACGTTGATGTTGAATGTTGAATGTTCTAATTTGTGATGTTGAATGTTGAAATACTACGTTAACGTGTTGTTTTAATTTGTGATGTTGAATGTGTGACTATTGTTGAAATACTACATTAATGACTATGGTTATATTTTGTTCACAGTATGGCCAGTGAATCAAGTGATGATGATTTGTTAAATATGGATGATTCGGAAGGAAATTTTGGACATTTCATGATGCTTCATTGCTTTGCTGCACACAAAGGAAGTACCATTGGTAGGATGCCTTGTAGAACATTATTGCTTACGGGAAAAATGTACGTGCTCGAAATTTTGAATGGACATCCGGAAGTGTGTTATCGTAATTTTCGTATGCAGAAACACGTTTTTATGAATTTTTGTGATACTTTAAAAGAAAAAGGGTTGCTGTATGATGGGAAAAAAGTGAGTGTTAAGGAGGGTGTTGCTATGTTTTTGATGATTGTATGGCACACGACACGATACAGTATAATTGGTGATAGGTTTCAGCATTCCAATAACACAATACACAAATGGTTTAAACGAGTTGTCAGGGATGTTTGTTCATTTGGCATTGAACTAATACGTCCGACAAATCAAGACATTGTGCATGAGCGAATTTTGCAGAAATATCCTTTCTTTAAAAATTGTATAGGTGCAATAGATAGAATACATGTTGCTGCTTGGGCTCCTGCATCGAGACAAACATCTTTTCGAGGAAGGAAAACTAATGTAACACAAAATGTGATGTTGACATGTGATTTTGATATGAAATTCACATTTGTGTATTCTGGTTGGGAAGGTACTGCTAATGATTCACGAGTATTTGTTGACACTATCACAAGGAGCTCAAACAATTTTCCAATGCCATGAGGAGGTATATTCTTATACTTCAAATAATTATTGCGAATTTATTTACAGTCACACTATGTAAGCCTTTTTTTTTCATTTTGCAGATCAATTTTACCTTGTTGATTTTGGATATCCAAATATGCTTGGATTTCTTGCCCCTTATCGAGGTCAAAGATATCATCTGCGTGACTATGTTGGACGGGGAAGATTACGTGGGAAGGAAGAATTGTTCAACTATAGACACTCATCGTGCCGTAATATTATTGAACGTTGCATTGAAGTTTTAAAGGCAAGATTTCCTATTTTGAAGTTGATTACCAACTATCAACTTAGTAGGCAAAGACAAATTCCTACTGAATGTTGCGCAATAAACAACTTTATTCGTCAGGAGCACGCTTTAGATAAGTTGTTCGTACAGTATTCGGAGGAGAATATGGTGTTTCAAGATATCCCGGAGTCAAGTCAAGATCAAGAAGTCATAAATTTTGATGCTAATCAAACAGCTCAAATGGGACAAGTTAGGGATCAAATTGCTACACAAATGTGGAATGACTATTCAAGACGTCGTATATGATTTCGTGGATGTAGTTTATATTTTGTTAGTGTCTACTTGTTTTGTAATGACACATAAACTTCCAAAAATATCTATTGAATTATTCGTATTCAGGATTTTGAATTATTCTAGTGCTTTCTCATGATTTGAACTGTGTTAAATGTTGTCTTCTGGTAAACAAGTGAATTATTTTGAAAGAGTGCATATTCGGGAAAGCTTAAAGTAAATTGTTGGGCTAAAATTGAAGTTGGTTACTAGTTTAAAATGGAAATAAAATTCAACGGCTAACATGAATTAATTACATAAAGTTCAACTAATACTATATTTAATATTATATTAGCATTAAACTATTCACATTTGTTGAATAATCAGATTTTTTGAATAAAATATTATTAAAAAAAATTTCTCAAAATTTCAAAGTAAACGCGTTTTTCAGTTTTATGTTTTCAGAAACAGTTTTCCAAAATGACAAAGAGAACGTATTTTCAGCAATTTCAAAACAGGCACTCAAAACACAAAACTCAAAATGATTTCAAAACTCAAAACACAAAACCGAAACACAAAGAGAACAGGTCCTAAAATTTCCTATTCATGAGATACAACAGCAATTTTCTTCTCAACGGAGTTAAAGTTTAAAATGGCATAAAATACTTTACACTTGTGCAAATGTAAGAAGAGGAGGAAGGCGATGGACATGAGATGTGAGAACTGTATCTATCCCTCTACAAGCCATCAGAAATTTGTCTCAATCACCCTAAGGATAACATCACATGACTTCAAAATTTTGAATTTTGTAGCAGTAGGACCAATTCTTCTTATTCGAACATTCTTTTGATTAGGTTTCATCCCATCGACGACTGTATGTCTAGATTTTCCATCTCTTGTCACTGAATTCCTAGAATAGGAGAATCCTTGTAAGCCCTTGTTTGGGTTCCATTTTTTCAAACTGTAATGAAATAAATAGTAATTTTTTGAATAATGTGTGGTAAAAAAAGAGAATTTGTTTTATGTTACGTGTAATATTATTTTATTGGAAAGTGTATGATTTATAGAAAGATAGAGAAAAATAAATTTTTAATTTCATTAAAATAACATAGGACTTGATGAAAACTTATTACCAGGGGGAAGACTTGTGAGAAAGAGCCAAAGGGAAGCTGATATCGGGATAATCAATGTCATTTTCATAGAGTGAAGAGGAGAAACCTCAGTCATTAATTGTAAATACAGAATCTATTCAATACTCATCCTTAAGAAATTGGAATATTACTTCAAACATTATGCCATTGAACCAAATTTGCAAGGTAAGATATTCTACTACGCACATGAACTTTATTTATGCTAATTAAAACCTGTAAATACTTGGTAGGTGTAGTATTATTACTGGAAAGAAGAAAAGTACAACGATTAGCTTCTAGAAAAGCAAGTCCTAATACAAAGAATTTTAAAATACGCTATCTAATAAATCTTCAATCTGATGTAAAAGGAAATAATTTAAAAAAAAAGCGGGGGTGGGCGTGGGGGAGAGGATGTCTGTTTTATCTCTCATCTTTGAACATAAACTGTCACTAAACAATATCCATATCGAAATTATTAGCAACATCACTCATGACGGTGGAGGGTAAAGTGACAGACAAATAAGAGCCTAACATAGGGAGGGAGAAAAATGTTTTTTTTTTTTTGGACAGAGACGGATCGATTAAAGAGGAGTGCTTTGAGTGGAGGATGAGAAATCGAGAGACTTTTCGAAGAAATGGAGCTAGCCGTAGCCAGCAAGTTTTCAATTGGGAAATCAGTAAACAAAGACATGCTTTTATTTGTAGAAATTGGGACCTTCCACTACTAAAAAACAGCTTTTCACCCACGGAAAATTACCAACGGATACAACCCGTTAGTAATTAGAAACGGATTATCCGTTGGTAAAAACTATTCACTTTCAGCTATGATAATCAGCAAAGGATTTTCCGTTGGTAACGATGATGTCTCTTTACCAACGGATATTCCGTATCTCATGTAACTGTTTAACATTTGGATCTTTCATCTACGGAATATCCGTAGGTGACGTATCGAATATTACCAACGGATTGCATCCGTTGGTAATTAAAAATGGATTATCCGTTGGTAAAAGTAATTTACTTTCAACAATCCGTTGGTAATTAAAAACGGATTATCCGTTGGTAAAATAATTTACTTTCAACTACGATAATCAGCAACGAATTTTCCATTAGTAACTATGATATATCTTTACCAACGGATATTCCATGCCTCATGTAATCATTTAATATTTGGATCTTTCACATACGGATATTCTATTGGTAATTAGAAACGGATTATCCGTTGGTAAAAGTAATTCACTTATTCCACATCGAAAGTTCACAACAAAGTCTTCGGAGTTGCCATCTATAAATTAATTGTGCGGTCCAATAAGTGGTTAAATAATATTTTGGCCTTTCAATTCGGTTAGTTAAAAGTTAAAAAAAAAGAAAAAGAATTATTAAATAAATAATAATAACAATAATAAAAAAATAAATAATTTTTGTTTTCCACCATACCTCACACATATGCGACTATTTACAATATTGATTTTTACCAATTATAATGATAGACATTTATTAACGAAAAATCGGTTGGTATTGGTTATAATTTTTACCGATAAAAATTTCGTTGGTAAAAGATTCACACTTTACTGATGGAAATTTCGTTGGTAAAATATTTACTCTTTACCTATGGTAGGATCCGTTGGTAACTATCAGCGACTCTTAAATTAGCAATAGATTTACGGTTGCAAATATTCCGTTGGTAAAGAGTAATAGCAACGAATATCAAGATTTCTGGAACGAAAAATTCGTACCTGAAGCCATGTTGTTTAGTAGTGTTCTTCTTTGTCATCTTCATCCTCCTCCCCAAAGTTTATATCAGAGTAAGATGTGTTGAAAATTTAGTGTAGTGGATGAAACCGGGATTCATTCATACCGTATATGCAATTTATGTATTAGATTTATGCATAACATATATGCAACATACCATATTTACGCACACCATATATATAAATTACTGTATATGTATATTAACGTATTTACAGCTTACCATATATGCATCATACCGTATTTGTAACAATTTACTGTATATGCAACAGCATAACGTATTTTCATCAGCATACCGTATATGCAACAGATTATCGTATTTGCAATGCCGATTTTGCATATACCGTATATGTAGTGAACACGATAAAATATAGCAAATTTAAATTGTAATAGAATAAACAAATTAATTTGATCGAATTAAACTTTTTGGCCAAATAACGCAGATTAATTTTTAATAAACATAAATAGAACAACAACAAAATAAACTGTAAATTATATGAAGCATATGAATAAATTGCAGAAATATTAAATAACAGATAAAAATTTATCCCGAGACTTGTGTAAGCATAGTTTCTTTAAAACAGATTTACCTCTTCACTGTTAGTGCTTAAGATTTAATCCGAACATCTGTTTCTCAGGATACAACAGTAAAACAGTAGAATATGAGCACTGCAGAAACTATTCCGACGAACTAAGTTAATATTCGAACAATATCACCACCACAACGTTGGATAGAAACTATATATGCAGACAGGATAATACTGTATATGTAGATAGAGAGATTTGTGTGTGTGTGTGTGTGTTTTTTTTTTTTTTTTTTGATTGCTAGAAATTGAGACTTAATATAAGATAAATCTGCCATTAACTCTATGACTATAAACATTGGAGTCACTTCAATTTCTACTAAAGTTTTAGCAGTTTTAGACACTCAAAAGTCAGTTGGAGAAAGTTAAAAAATTGCAAAACGTGGACACTCCAAACGAGCCAATTTTTGCTCTATTCGGTCTGACATTCGTGTACGCAAGTATCACCCGCCCACAAGTTCAAGGTCCGAATGTTATTTCAGTCCATGATTTGCACCCTCTGCATGCGCACGTGGAGAGAGTATCTATGTTATATATGATCATATCCTTCCAAAGTGTAGTCATATATAAAGTGGTTCATGTTTTCTTAATTTCCTATGTAGGACAAATCATATTTTCCCACATAAATCATCTTCCAATGGTCAACTTTGAGCTCCAAATTCTCATTTATTCGAGCTTCCACGAAAATAAATGTAATTGATTTGACCACATGCATTATTTACACCAAATTTCAAGTCAAGTAAATTGATTTGATTATATGATTAAAGGTATTGATTTGACCACTTTTCAAGATAATGCACTATTTTATGCATTGACCGTCCATATCATCTAGCCATTTCCTTTCACTTTTCTATAAATTGTCCAAGAATTTACACTACAAATAGGAGATAAACCCAACACTAAACTGGCTGTTATGAACTATTTGCACACACTCTCTCTCATCACTTTGTCTATCCGTGTTTATTCTTTCCCTTATCCTTTTCATATTAAAAGCCTGTTTGGTATCCATTTTTTTTGAAAATGCATTTTTCTCTCTCTTCTTTTCAACCATGCATTCTTTATTAAAATAATATTACACGTAAATCAAAAACTTTTTCTTATTTTTCAACCACACATTTCCCATCAATTTACTATTCAAAAATGTATTTTTACATAAAAATATCTACCAAACACCCTCTAAATATAGTTGTACACTTACATAATTACACATAGATACTCAAGCTCATACGTGGTTCAATGATCTCTCTCCAACATTTACTTCTTCTATCATTTTAAATTATCCAATGAAAATTAAGTGTTATTACATTATTAGAGATGGCAATGGGGTGAGGCATCCCCACCTCATCTAACTAGGGCGGGGCGGGGCGGGGCAACTTTTTGTCTCATTTAATTTTTTTATTTTTTTCACATTTTCAAAAATTCGAGTTATGTCATTATAAGAGAATAAAATATAAATTCAAAATGAGTTTTTAATCGATGAGTTGTCTAAAAAAAAAAAAATATTTTTAATCTTTTCCCCCCTCCCCCCTTCACGGGGTTGGTTCTGGGGGGGCATCCTCGTCCCACCCCTCGCGAC